CTTTCATCTCCATTTAGTCAGTCGAAGTGGTGTCCTGGTTTCGGCCCATTAGAAAATCCGGTGAGTGGGCTACTCGACGGCTACATTTATCATGGAGGATTAGCCGGATGGTAAAAACCTAGACACCCCCGATTATAAAAAAAAAAAACTTATGTACTTCATTGACCATAACAAAGTGTAAGATTAGTTTAGACTTCCATGGCATGATGAACCGTTTTTTTTCTTTTTTGTCTAAGACATGATGGACCAACAAACTTTAATTCAAGCAATAACCCTTCTTGCATGTTATCTTTATGTATATCTATTATAATCACGTATATGTCTGCATATTTAAACAAAAAGTCGTATTTTAAAAATGAAACAGCCACAATTATTGAAATTTTGCGAGAGTTTTTTCGTTTCTACCAATCCGTTTTAGAATAGGAAGCAAACTCCTTTGACACATGTGTAATTGTAGTAGGATCCAATGAAGAAACACATATACTAGAATCAATAGGAAGTGTTTAAGACACACTTAAAACACTTTCATTAACATAAACGTAGCACTGCTACAAGCAACTCTTGTTGCACGAAATTCAGATAACACACTCTTACAAAGATGGAATAGAACTCTCAACCTAGTCTACCCAAGAACTTATGACATCTTACACAACAAAATTCATGTTTTTCCAACTGTTCCTAATCTACCCAGAAGCAATAGTAAACATTCTTCCTAACTCACTCTTTTTGTTCTTGAGTTCTTATACAAGTATGCAGTCTCAATCTCTCCCGATCTTTTCCAAGAAGAAGTAAGTTCTGAAGCCTCCTCTTCAGCCACTTTATATTGGTTCTCCACTAACCAATTTTTTTGAATGAGCATGCTTCGGACCAGCAGACAATCCACTGTTCTTACGCAGAGAACCACTGTTTCACATGCACTTCACTTTGTACAACGTGCCAACCTTATGCTTTTTGCCTTTTGCATAAGGTCACTTCCTTGTTAGCTGAACCAACTTCTGCACGATATCTCCCACTTGCGTTTTCATGGCTCGAGACACTCATTGTTATTCACATGTGGGATGTTGACTTCACATGTGTGATATTGACTTCAGTTTTGCTCGTTCTCCTGTGTAGCACAGGAATCCTCATATCTTCTTTGATCCTTAGTTTCCATCTTTGATGCGTCTACAATCTCCCCCTTTTTACTTGAGTATGTCAATCCAAGCAACCTGTCTAAACAGAACGCACACAGAGGGTATATACAATCTTTATAGTGGAATCACCTCAATGATATCCACGATCCTGTTCAACAACAGGTGCAGAATAGAGCCATAGTATGAAACCACCTCAGTGAATTTCAAGACCGTATTCACATGTATGTTGGACTGATCAAAGGTATTCAAGCAAAAAATCAAATCAGCACCATAAGCAACACGAATACCAAGTAGAATCACATATAAGTTTTGAAACAGAGGAAGTCAAGACTGGGTTCAATACATAACAACAGAACTACTCCTAAGGCAAGGTTCCAGACTTATGCAATTCTAAAACAAAATAGCGAAAGCACATAAGAAATAAGTTGTTAACTTTCAGAAGATCAGAGAGAGATAAATGGTGAAGAGAGATCAAAACGATTGAGAGGAATCAGAAGCATCATGTTTTATCTTTGATGTGCCAGTCCCATCATTTTTCCTCGCACCAATGTGTTTCACCAGAGCACGCTCCCCCTCAGTCGTACGCACTACTTCACCATTTTTGTTGACAGTAAATCC